ATTTTTGCGATGAGTGACTGGTTTGCCTTGTCTTTGCCACAACTTCTAAACAAATTGGCGAGAAAAGAAATTATATAGAAATTATTAAAATCTGATGCAAGGACAGTGTTGATATTTTATGTTAAAAAATCTTACTTTTTGAAAATGTTTTGAAGTTGCAAAACTAATTATAAGCTATAAAGTTGCGTATCTAAGAGTCTTGAAATAGGAAGGGAGCTGATGGGGGGGGGGCTCAATGATTATTTGGGGTGGGAAAGTCGGTTGCAAGATAAGTTGATATGAGGTGATTTTTAACTACTTGAGGGTGATATTTTTGCTTCAGACATTTTAAATTAGAGGACGACTAGGAAACAAGCTTTTTTTTTGCACATATTCTACAAATCCACTGAGGCTGTGACTAGTTTATACATGAGGAACTATGGAAAAATCATGAGTTTTTCTTACCAAGGTTACTTTTTTAGTAGATGATTGCTGTAAGCTGACTGGACCTTCCTGGACCACATCTCGCTTTCTTCGTCTTTCAACTAAAGGCTGAAAATCATCCACAGTTTGATCTTCTAGTGATGTATCTGGAAGTGCTTTCCTCTGCATTTGAAAATGAACTAATTATTAATAACAATAATAATACGGTAATAATTTGGATGTTATGTTTCATCCCATAGTGAACAGCAAGGGTCACTCTCTTTGCTTCATATAAAAATAAAGATATAAAAAATAAAATCTATGTGTAGACTTTTAAGCCCTGCCTTCGGCTCTGTTTCTAATTCCCACAAAATGACAGGGTTAAAACATATACACAAATGCGTTTGTAGGACACATGTGCTTGTTACTAGACATACATGTATTCCTGGCCCTTTTATTATCTCACTCACTGTCAGATTAAGTTCATCTACACTGTGTAGGGGCAGCAGACATGTTCCATTTGCCATCCCAGTAATTATTGGCTGGTTGGTTAGATACAGGAGCCATTTGCCATTCCTGGCTTCGTACGGAAAGCTAATGTTAACCTGAACTTGTTGAACTACTCCTGGACCTTCATTGAAAATCTGTAAAAATAAAACAGCATACAAATGTGACTGATTGGAATGCAATTACAGTGGCGAAATTACCTTACTACTTTCACATAATGTAATTTCACAGTAATTATTGGTTTATGTTTTAGGGAATAAAAAAGAGTAAAGAAAAAATAGAATAAATATAATTACAAGTTATAAATACCAAAAATACAGTTTCTCAAACTAAACTGATTAAAAAACATGCATATTTTAGACTGAAAAAATCTGAAAAACAATTACAGTATAATAAGTTTGAAGGACATGTAATTAACATCAACAATGTATTATTGAATGAGGCTATTGTGATTAATACGAACTGCAGATTTCACAAATGAGTTCCTGTATTAAGTGACTGACTTACGGTCCAGTTGTGTTGTACAAATGTTCCTATCATCGACACATCTTTAATTGCACTTTCTCCAATGACTTGGCCACCAACTTGGTACTGTGGCAGGTTGGTATTTCTGATGGGAAAATAGGAATAATTGCATAGAAATTTACATTGTAAGCCTATGAAGGAGTATTACTTGTGTTCTTATAGTCAAGGGGGCGAAATGGGAAATTATGGGGGGTGTGCTAGCTGGTGGTGGTTTTCAGTATGGAAACATGTATTCTCCTTACTTTGTGATGTAACTAGGTTCTGAGAAGCCCCGGCTTGAGAGTACTATCAAGGCATTTGATGCATATAAATTGGCTGACTTGTATATAGTTATTTATTTATTTATTCTTTCTTTATACTGAATATACACTTTCAATACATAGTACTGGTTTCCAAAGTGGTTCAGTTCTTAACTACAAAATTTTAAAAGCAAATATATACATATGGTAGCCAAAAAAATGGATAACTACAAATTAAAATAGATTTAAAAGAAACACTGAAAGAAACTTAAGAAAAAAAAAATTTAAATAATAAATATGCATATGCAAGGTAAGAGAAAATCAGGTTAAATTAAGATGGTATTATTGAGGATTTGAAATAGAATGCTTAAAATTTAAAAGTGTCATAGATTTAAAGTTGGTTTTAGTATGATCCGGGAGTTTATTCCATAATTTAGTAGATTGGTATACAAAAGTTCTTTTACCTTGCATATTATTCCAGGTGTATTCAATTAGTGTATTTTTACTTTGACTGCGAGTACAATGCGTATGCAAATCATAATGAAAAACAAAATTTCCAATAAATATGATGGAGCATGACCATTTAAACATTTGAAAATCACTGAGTAATTGTTCGTCCCATTTATCACTGAGTTTGCTCCACCCTAACAAACTTAAAATATTTACAACTAGGGTTTTTATGTCAGCAGAAAGTAAAATTCTTCCTAATCTGTTTAAAAGTATTTTTTAAACATATTTGAAAGTTTAATATTAATTACAGTTGAACCAAATACAATTACAGTAATCAAAAAGAGGCATAACTAGAGTGTTAGCCGACATCTTAAGAGTATTATGGGGTAAGAAATATTTAACACGGTGGATAATACCGATGCCTTTTCCAATATGGTCAGACTATGTTAATTTAGAATCAAACACAACTCCAAGCAATTATTACTCTTTTACTGACTAGAACTAACATACTAACATGGGCGTCGATCGGTGAGGACAGGGGGACACGTTCCCCCCAGCATTTTCAAAGTTGGGGGGATTTGAAGACTTCCTTATTTTGCAATTCGTCCCACCCCCCCCTACTTTCAACCACGGATCGACGCCCTTGCATACTAAAACCATCCCCCACCAAACATTTAAAAAAAAATAATAATAAAAATATGCTACAAGCTTCTAAAAAAATATTGACCTTTATGTAATTTGTATTTTCTATCATGTGAATAATACAATACATAAATAGAAAATATAGTATTCTAAGATTTCCTATCAATGGTACTGTTTTATTTATATTATATCTTTATTGGGATGAGGCCCTAATAGCCGGTCGTTATACCACTAGCCCCTCCCTAGATCATCATCAAAATGGTAATGAAAATAATAAGGAAGCTAATCACAAAATATGATGATGACGATGATGATGATTGATGATGATAATGATAATACAGACACAAGGTGTAACTTACGCTGAGATGACTAGATTTGTTAAACTTTCAACTCGTGCAACTAGTGACTGGAAGTTATCTGCTGGCATTGTCTCGTTGCTTGTACTGATTATTGAAAAAAAAAACAAACCATTAAAAACTTAGACCTCTAGAGACATTGTATCAACTACACTCCACTCATACATTCATCGCTTGGCTATTTCTATAGAAATCCACCACCACCGCCATCACCAAAACCATCACCATCATCATCATCCATCATTATCTATTATTATTATTATTATTATTACTGTATTCTTATTACTGGTCTGCTAAAAATCTGAGTTCTGTATTTAATTCCATAATGTGACATGGATGAATGCAATCACTACAGTATGCATTTTATAAACAGCCCATCATTATTACTTAAAGTCATTCAAAGGTCATCAATTTTTCAAATATACTCCGAGATAAAATGACGCGCTAAATGCATTAAACCTCAGTCAATTCAATAATTAATATTTCCATATGTAATATTGATGTGTTCTAATTGCAATAATATATAATAAATTTAAACTGGCAACTCACGTTACAGCAGACACATTAAATACCAAGTAACCTTGGTCTGGTACAACTTGGTTGCCAAGGAAACCAATCTTCCTCGATATCTAAGATGGGCAGAAAGATGAAAGAGAAATAAAAATAAAAAATAATGTAATACTGTTTTTTTGACGTAGTGGTAAGTATTTGGACTTCTAAACAAATGGTTGTGAGTTAGAAAGCAATATCTGGTCACTTGCATTTGACCAGATGTGTCCGAAAAAATGTATCATGCAATAACACACAGTATGTACCATGTAATATGTACCATATAGTATGTACCATGCAATATGTACCTATAGTTTGTACCATGTAGTATGTACCATACATTATGTACCATACATTATGTACCAGGTAATATCCCCATGTAATACAGTATGTACCATGTAATATGTACCCTATAGTACCATGTAATGTGTACTATATAGTACGTCCCATGTAATACAGTATGTACTGTACTATGCAATATGTAGCCTATAGTATGTACCATGTAATATGTACTATACAGTATGTACCATGTAATATAGTATGGACCATATAGTACTCTATGTACCATGTAATATGTACCATACAGTATGTACCATGTAATATGTACCATGTACAACATTATGCACCATGTAGTAGGTTCACCTATAAGTCAACCACTGTAATGTACACACTATATATGATGGTACTTGTTTCACAACAAGGTTGTGGTAAATATATACAGGGAACAATGCGAGACCTGGAGTTTACTGTAGCTGTATGTTATGGTGTGGTTTGAGTTTGGTAAATGATGTCTAGCCTTAGCAACTGCCCAGACTAACCTACTTCCTCTTTTAGTAAGAAATAGGACAGGTGTACACAACCACTAGCAAAGGTGCCCTTGACAATCAGCCAGATCAAGTGTAAATGTCATGTAAACTTACCTCACCATAACCAAAGGGGTTACCAAGGTCACAGGTTATTGAACCTTTCTCCGTGCCTGTTGATATACATATACCTTGTGAATCCTACAAAATACCAAAAGAGAAACATTTTTAGGGTGATTAATTAAGTTGGTTAATGAGCAATATTATAATTCATTTCAATTTCTTTTGTTCATATCATAGGCCTACATCAATAATAAAAGCTGTTATATATATACATACACGATATCAAAATGAAAGCAGAAAAAACCCCATAAAAATATTTATGGTAGAAATGTGAGTGTCAAGGCCTCTCTCTTTAAAGTCAAATATAAATCATACCATAACATAATTTTCAAGCAACAGATAGATTTTCAAATACAGGTATGTACAGAAAATCGAGACATAATAGACCGAATTAGTGATTAAAGATGATGACATCACGATTTTGTAGAGTGGGTATAAACTCGGAATGTCCTATTCTCGTTTTGGTGTGGTTCAGAAAAATACGCAAAAAAAAAACTGAAATGTGCGGTAAAGATACTTTTTATAACATTTGTAGGTTAAGAAAGGTTCATAGAACAACAAGAATGCGTTTGATTTGAATTTTAATTGAGATTAAGTTAAATATAGGAAGAGATTTTAAAAGCTAGGCCACAGCTGGTGATGTCTGTACAACGATACATCATCGATATGGCCATCACCCCACTGTGCACATACTTCTCTTTGTAAAACCTCAATGATTTCCTGTTGGTTTCTTAAACACCATTTGACCCCATGTTGTTGGTAAGACCAAAACACACATCGAATGTACGTACTTATGTCCAAAATTGTTCAATTTATATTTGTTATATATCTCATTTAGCATAAAAAATTGTAAAAAAAAAAAAAAAAATGAAAATACATTTATGAACATTATACAATGATTTCTAACTTAAATCATGTTAAACTTTACACACAAAGCTGGTATGATTAATTTTAGTAAAGCATATTTTCCTAAACTATATGTACATCATTCCTCTATGCAGGTTTGTTCTGGTTATATCCACATTATTTCAGTAGCCTTGGTCACTATGGTCTATTTCAAAGTTTGATTTTGTTATGTGGGCCAAGTTTATATAATTTATAAATCCATCATGTTTTTTCTACTACAGCATAATACCAATTATTTTGTTCTTTTTATTGCTACTCGTACTTTGAAAAATCTATCATGTTTCTTGTCTGGTATATTTATCAAATAATAGAGTGGCAAATATGTAATATTTCAAAATGCTTACACCATCAAATTCCAAAACAGGCGTGAAATCAATCTTCACCATCGCTTCATAGGCATCTTCCAGGGTGTTCTTAATCTGTAGGTTTAGATTTATCTTGAAATTCTCACCAACTCTAAACACAGTAACACCATCATACCCCCTAATGAATGTAAACAAACATTTATTACATCTGCACATGTCATCTTTTATTTGAACAATATTGTTGAGGGTAGCACCAAGTATACCATATCAAATATATATAAATTTTTTTTTTCTATACATACAGTTTGCCCTCTATTTTGAGACCACCTTTGGGACCTGAAAATTTGGGGTGGTCTGAGCGTTGTTGGTTCCAATTAGAGGGCTAGCTTTGTGTTAAAAGTTTGAATATTTTTATTTGGGTCTTTGCAAAAGTGGTCTCGAATTAGAGGGGTATCAGAATTTGGGGGGAGGGGTCTCGAATTGGAGGGTGCACTGTATAAACCTTCTTCGATAGTTTAGAATATTTACATTTTAAACAGGCATTCTTCAACATATATAGAGTTGTTTTCTAGTCGAAAGAATCATAATATTGTTTTCTAGTCATGAGAAAAAAAAAATCTCTACAGGATTTGAACCTAGGACTCTGGGAATAGAGGCAATCAGCATTAAACAAAAATCTATAACTCTACTATACTGTTGATTTTACTTTCAACAAATACAGTAGTATTATTGCAGGCTACCAAAGATAATAGAAGAAGATAGAGCTGAACTCGAAAATAGTTAAACAACATCCGGGTTCCCCAGCCCCACGACAGTTCCCCTTACATTATCTTTGGTTCAATCATGCCTCCTGTTAGTTTCTCCACTCCATCAAATAGTCCCCCACAAGTAGGTAGGTGAACATTCCATCAATTTTAATGCAAACTATGCAAAGAGCTCATTCTATGTTCTATGAATCTAGCTACAATTGGGGCTGAAATTTTTAATAATGATATAATTACAAACCTTGGTAGATCCAATGTTGCATTCACTTGTAGGTTTGCTGTACATATCCCATCATCCTTGGTACAATCTTTCTTGAAATCAGCCTATAAAATGTGACCATTCTTATTATCAATAATAATATTATTATAATAACTGTATTAGCAATACCAAAAAAAGCCCTCAATCAAACTACAACTTACATATAAAACAAAAATGTACGTATTTTCAGTCAAATAAAATTTTTCCTATAAAAAAAATGCAATTGATCCTCAAAAGCTCATAAAAAAAATTGGATTTAGAGAATTAAATGCTTAAAAAATGACTAGTTATGGTATTTAGACCTACTTTCAGAATTAAAAATTGAGAGAGAAAAAGGTAAAACTAGATAAGAATTTGTAGTATACCTTCTTCATAGTGTAAGTGACTGTATTTAGATCCATAATGGGAAAAGCTGCAAGCGACGGAACAGGCTGACCAACTTCTGGCATAACCGGTTCTGATTCTGGTAGCCAGATATTAATTTCAACTGGCACTGGTCTCAGAATATCAATTAAATTATCCTAAAAATAAAAATAGTAAATTTAAAATATAAATAGTAAATTAAAAATATTTTAAACTTACTGTATAAACAAATGGTGCATGTATTCAGCATAAAAAGGTCAATGGTATATATTTTTTATTCTGGTCTAATTATTACTCATATGGGACAAAATGTGTTATATGATTCATAGTGACTCAATCATATATCTATCAAATAACTATTTACATTTTTATTTTTTTTTTCGTTTGACACATTTGTACTGGTATCCAAAGAGACATAGAACCATCAATACAGCATTTGTAAAGTAGAAATATTCAGATTATATAATAGCCTGCTAAACGAATTTTAGTAATTTTGGCGGAAATATTAGGAAACAACTAAAGAGTATATAACATGTGAAAGGAAGAAATAAGGCAAGGTAATTTGTGGGTGAACTTCTATGATTGAGCAGTTAATTCAATGATATAGGCACAGCAAGTCATCTTTAGGTCTGTAGCTCTGCTTATCATAGAGTATGTCATGTTTAAAGGCAATAGAGGATGGATAACTTCCTTTTTCCTGTCTCACAATTTTTTTCTTTCATTTACATCTGTGCTTTTTTTGAATAAACACATACTTTGACAACAAATCTCATATTAGCATAAATTAAACCCAACTTATTAGCATTAATGAACAGGTCAGTTTAGCTTTAGTGATTTCCACTGTGAACCTACCTTGAACACAAGTATAAATGACCTATTGACGGTGGCGTTTTGCCGCTGAAGACGGACGGATTTTGTTAACGAACTGCCGTTCTCCTCGCCGTTCTTTTTGTAGAACGACACTCTTGAGCTAAGACCAAGATCAAGTCTGGTTTTCTCCGCCTGTAAACTGAATCTTACATCTACCAAAAGAAAAAAAAGCAAATAAATGCTTTTTATTTATTACTATAAAATCAATATATATCTTTGAATACCCTTGTTTACGTTTGTACCGCTTGCCAATGAGTAGTACTAAGTCTGTTGCGAAAATTAAACTTCATGATGCCTCTATATAAACTTAATGGTCCACACTATCAATATTTTATTTGACAAAAACCTGTTGTATGCCCATATATAGTCATGCTGTGCCTATATATGGCCATTTCAATTTTCAATTTCAATTTTATTATTATAATCAAACGGCAGCATCAGCTGAATTGCATGATATTTACATAATACATTAATTAAAGCGCTGTAAAAAAAGTAAAAAAGAATACAAAAAATGATTTAACTACAGTAAAATGTAAAAAGATTATATACAATTGTAACATTAACTAATAATTAATGTAATTCCATGATATGATGTCATCATGACCATATTTAGGCATGTCACATGTATTTGTCAAAATTTGATGGTCTGGAAGGACTTAAAATTTGCTGAAAGAAATTTAATAGCACTATTCAAAGTCCATAGAGTACCACAGTCATGTCGTCAAAACACCAGGTGGTGCCCTCTGGACGTTGGTTACCATTCAATTATGCCTGAATGACTTCATAATCTTAATGGTTTAGAATAGGCTTTCTGGAATAGGCATTTTACAACCTAATAATTTACCATCAGAATGTAGTAAAAACACAAAAAAAGCTCACATTATTATTAGTTATGTAACTAGTAATTAGTAATGTAACACACATTTAATCATCAATTAACATTTACAAAGAAAAATTAAGATACATCTTCTAAATAATTACGTTAGAAATTGGGATCAATGGTTTGTCAGTAGCGAAAATGGCGTCGGTTGAATGCATTTTGGGTTGCCGGTAGCAACGGAGTAGTATCACGTGTTATTGTGACGTAACACTGTAATACTCTATAGGAATAATATTATTTAAAATATTTGTTAATTTCTCAAGAAAAGATTTTCAACTCATTCTAATTTTTAGCTTCTAAGCTTGTATCTTATTGAAATATGTGGAATACTAGCAATTAAATATTTTTTCTTAATTTTCAAGTTTATTCAATTCCTATGACAGTATATTTAAAATGAGTAAGGGGGTCAGATAATGAAAATAAACCACGAAAACAACATCTGCTTTCTATTTGTATGGGCTACGATTACTCACCGACAGGCTCATCATAAACACCGCCACATTCGTACCAGATCCTCACTTCCACTGTAAAACTGCAATGACAACATTTAGTTATCTGGTTGTGTTATTATCATCAAAAGTCATTGATTCATAACCTGACATCCTAATTCGTATTGTAATTATGTATCTTTCAAGTGGATTCAAGTGTAATTCCTTTCCACCCCTCATGGGAAGTACTCGTTTGAAAACAAATTTTAATTGGTCCATTATTAATTGTCTGTAAAAACATATTTCAAATTATATTATCAATTTAATCAGATCCCTGCTATCAAAATTTACTGGGATGAGAATTTGTTCACATGCGAGAGAGGAAAGAGTATCATAAGCAATAGCCTATAAAAAGATGAATGTATCGGTTACATCAGCACCTGGAAATAACTATTAGTAGAATGCGAGGAATATTTTTACGGTAAATACTATATTATATGCTATAATACTGCTTTAGCTATAACTTATTGTCTATATTCAATGACTAGTAAATTTCTTATAATTCAGAAATGATACCTTGATAATAGAAGTCAAATACACTCATTTTAATTTACTGATGACAGAAATTTGAAAATACAAAATTCAAAGCTGAAGCTTAAAAAAAATAATAATCAATCATCCAACAGAAAAGTGAATTAGTGAATGAGATAAATAATAAAATGAATGCAAAATAAAAAAAAAACTATAATAAATAAGTTGTACACTTATTCACAATGTATACTTGTATAATATTAACATATATAACATATAAAATCATACTAAAAATTAACAATTAAAATAATAGTAATAATTATAATTTTATTTTAATAATGAAAATACTATTTGTATTGTACACAATTGGAATGGATGCCTATACATTATACATAGAGAATATACAGACATAATAATGATGAAGAGATAGAAATCTATAATGAAGATAAATTCTCATAAAACAGCGAAAGTATGACATCATCATGCTTACCACAATCTGTCTAAGCCGAGGGAAGGACATGTGTTATCCTCTCTTACCAGAATATCTGGCACAAGATTTAGCTCATGCTTAATCAAAATCACAGGCCTGGTTCTACAAGAGACAAGCAGTGAATAAATAGACCGATGTTAGCTTATAGTAGTTAATCAATGAGATTAATTACAGTACTTGTATTTTGAATATTAATAAACATTGATCGAGTTGCTAAGCTCCAAAATAGAATTTCACGTAAGCCTGTGTACAGAGCATGAACTGATGACAAGAATAACAGTTGGAAAATGAGTCTCAATTTCAACCAAAATTTAGAATTAAAAATCAGTATGTTTTATAATTATAAATAAATAAAAACAAAAAAGTTGCCTAATAACAATATAGGATTTTCATATAATTTTTATTAGCATTTATCTATTACTTCACAGATTATTCAATATTTCTTTAAAGCAGGTCATATGTTTTACTTATGTCTAAAAAATCTAGTGTCGGCAGAGAATTGTCTGCTGGGGTTCCAGATGTTTGAATTTTAATGAGAACATCGGTATAAAGCATAGTACAGTATAAGGTTACTGCCTGTAACCCAGGGTGCGTACATGTATATACACATGATCACCATTCTTCACCCATAATGTATTATGTCGGTATGCATTGATTGGTTTTGTTTGTCATAAAGCTTTAATTTGTTCAATTACCATTAAAAAATCAAATAGGGTCGGGTAGGGTAGTGGTATTAAGGTAGGGTAGGGTAGTGGTATTTGTATGTAGTACTATATCACCTGAATTATCAAAAATTGCTACTTATATTATGGAAAGGCATTAAATTATGATACAATACGATATACTCTTACTATCAAAACAAACTTCTATTACATTTAAGACGTGTTTTGCAATGTAGACTCAGTTGATAACATTATATAACAATATATACAGTGCAAGACCAAACATTTACAATATACAGATATCAGTGAATAATTTTCTGGTGAGATTTTTAAAATATTGACAACTACTCAGCTGCAAGGAGATTCTCAGCGGATAACATTATATAATAAAAATACATAAACAAAATATGAGTACAAGGTAAAAAATTACAATATACAATTATCAGTGAATAATTTTCTGGTGAGATTTTAAAAATGTTGAAAACTACAGCTACAAGGAGATAAAAGATGCATAACATCTGTGGCAAAATCTGGATATGCCAACAAATATTGCTTATTTAAAGGACGAAGTAACTTATCATGTGTTACAACAAGCTGGAAAATTTAGGCTTCACTAATTTACACATTTTCTGTAAATTCTGTAAATTGATTACCAGCCAACTTGTGGGGAATAATATTTTACCCAACCTAACATGTTATAAACATCATTTCTATCAGGTTTCCTAATACAAACATGTTTTGAAACAACAAATCCAAAAATAGAATAAATATTATTTATGCATCTGCTGTTAATAAATATATGCCTGTAATTATGCTTATTTATTTTTTTAGACCTATTTTTTTTAGATTAGTAGATTATGAAACACGCAAATGACATGCATGAAAGTCTGAAGTCATAAGCCTACAGTACATGCAATAAACACACTAACCTTAACAAGACTACTTCACTTGATTCAAAAGCACCTATCAATAAATCTGGGAATGAATTATTGTCCATGTCTATTCCTCCGGACAGAGAATAGCCAAATGTGTTGTTTGGAAATGGCGCTCCTTTCAGGTCAGGGTTCAAACTGTGGGGTGTGATCTTCTGTACTGGACTACCAAGGATACCATCCGCGTTTCCCATGTAGATGTAAACAGCACCCTCACCGTTTTCATATGGTGCACCGACAGCAATGTCTAGTTATGAATGTATACAAAAAATTACTAATAATTCTAACAACTATTTAATTAATTGTACTGATAGGGACCCATCAATGCAAGATCATTATAAAGTTAAAATAAAATAAAAACTGAAGCTGAATGGCAATAAACGGTCAAATTGAAAATATGCAAATTTAGATATAGTATGGTTAAAGCATTTCAATATAGTATGGTACTTTTCTATAAAATTAAATTATATCATCCAGTTTTATTGGTGGATGTTTAAAGAAATAACATAAGTATTTGAAACAATAATTAACTTTTAATGATTAAAAACAAGTTATAAAAAGGGTGTTTTAAAGCCTGTTAAAGTCATACAAACACTGGCGTTGAGACATTATTTAAATCTTGTTTACCTTGGAATGTATCATAGTTGAGATCACCAAGGTTTGCCATGGAGATCCCATACATGGAATCTAATGGTCCATTAATTGCCTCACTGTACTGGCGGCTTGTGCCTCCTAAATAACCCTATCAGAGAAAAGAATCACTGAGATTTAGGTTAAGAAGGCAGATTATTTCCCCTTTCCAAAAACATTGAATAAATCAAAATGTTGTTTTGTTCACCGACCTGGAATACTACACCACAGAGTGATATCAAATTCCATGGCTTATATACATTATGTTGACTTATACAATGAATAGGCCTCTTTGCTTTACTTTGCTGTATAATGCAAATTCAAATTCATTCACAAAAATATCTGAAGTAAAACAGTATAATACAAACATAACAAAACTGAGGTAAAAACCACATTAAAAACATAAGAAAAAAACTATTGAATAAACCATAAAAGAGCAGTGTTACCAGTAAAATAATGCACATCAATTCATAATTAAAAGCTCTTCTTATAATACACATACAAGAGGCGAAAGTTAATATACTGTAACACATCATCTTTCTTTTTGGGGAATTACGGACACTTGAACTCTCTGACACATAACTTAAGCCCCTTCCTCGTTCACTGGCGTCATGTGCATGCTGGAACTGACTTTTCAAAAAGTGTACAAAAGGCCTATTGCATTTTCAAATGCTAATATAGGTATTCCATTATTGTCGTTGACAAATCATTTTTATTTTGTATGTATAAGTTGAGCATCAAATTCAATCAACCATGTTCCAAGTAATAGCGTAATTGTCTCTTGTCATGCTATAACATGTATAGAAGCAGATTAATAGACACCCGTGGACACAAGCAATTGTGTGATGTTTCAATGTACACATCTTCTGCTGGTGATTTAACACTTTCATCAACCATATTTGGAAATGTTACAAAATGAAAAATGAGACCAATTAATGCATGTTCTTAAGTTGACCTCATCTGTTTATCTTCCAACAGTGAACATCACATAGCAATCTACATTTTTTTCATAATCCATCAAATTCATAACTGTCTTTAACATCGTGACAGTTTCTCAATGAAATTCTTTTTAACTCGAATGTATTGTCCCTTATAGAGACTCGTACAAATATTATATTTGCCGCATAATTAAAGAATCTAGTCTGAAATCTTTTAGAAATATAACCAATGAATATTTTTGGTTCCTATGTTTAGCACCATCATTTGTATTCCCAATGTAAAATAACATGTTAGCACTATCCGCGGTTTACCCGTAACAAAATAGATGCGTCCATTCACGAACAGAAAGCAGTAGAAAGTAATTGTAATTGAGAGAGGGCGTCCTAGTTGTTGCCATGGTTGTTGTTACAGAATTTGCATGCAAAAATCGTGGAGAACACTATCTTGTTATTATAAGATCTTTGATGTAAATTCATTCTCTACATTCTTTAGTTGCTTTATAGCATGTTAAGCACATGTTTTAGAATGTCTCCATAATAGTAAAGTTTTATTTGTAATCTTTTTTTTTTAAATGTTCTGTAGCAATGTATGCTTCATATATGGAATATATATGTTGCATTTTTAAAGATGTAACTTTTTGATATAACACAGGACAAAAAGAATCGTTTTTAGAACCAACAAAATGCAGAGCATTTAACAGATTACATTAAAGTACAACAACCAACTCTTTCAAATTAGATATACATACATACATACTGTGTATTTATATAGCGCTACTACATCAAGATTGTAGCGCTGAAGAACAAAGTAATAAATAACAAGTAAACAGTTAAAGGAAGCATGAGGCATTACTTAAGATATGAAATAACAGATCCTTGTTGTTTGTTATTTTTTTTTTTAGCAGACATTTAAAGAAAGAAGGATGTACTGTACCTATATATAGGCATCATAAAAGAAGGGATGTACCTATATATGGGCATCATAAAAGAAGGGAAGTACCTGCCAACATACTTAGTTCTAATATGCTCTCTTATTCAGATTCCATTCTGGTTGAATTCAGAGATCTACTATCCTCAAGTGCTAATCAAAATATTTAGGAAGGAGCAAAGCGTCCAGTCATTCAAATGACATTAACATTTACATTTTTTGAGAATAACACATTCCTAGTTCTGTATATCTTTTTCAACCTTTAAAGTCCACTATAGTATGTGTAATGTTTTGTCATCTGTGTTTGCCTCAGAGTTTGTCTCTAGTCTTCGTTTTGTTAATTACATTGAGAATCCATGTTCTCATAATTAGAAAAACATCTTCTTACCTGTCTTCTCAAATCAGATTTCCTTTCCGCTACGTGTAATGTTACCTTAAGGCAGATTTGCCACAAACATATTTAATATTCTGACGCTTTTAGTGAAATCAATCTCCCAGTTCAACTACACTAGTCTGACCCTATTATTTGCAGGATCTGTGTTATTGCAATTAAGTACAGTACTTAATTATGATTGATAATAGCTCATCAAATATATATGTCATTTCAAACAAGAAACATGAAACCTCAACTCAACAAAGGCGATTTTCCGAGCTTAAAACAAACAAGGAATGCTTTCAAGTATGTACGTACTTGAATTGAAATAAACAGGAGAATGATTTTTAAGTACATATTTGATGACTGTGGCCGACTAGTAGAGTCATAAAGGTTAAGTAGGCATGGGGTTCACCGATAAGTTTGACATAAGATAATATGAAACAAACTCCGAAAAAAGTGATACAAGCCATTATTGATTTAATAACATTATTGAATCAATAATGGCTTGTATCACTTTTTTCGGAGTTTGTTTTATACTATCTTATGTTAAGTAGGCATATACTGTATAATCAATAACTCCCTTTACCCCACTCCTTCCCTAGAAGACACAGTCGAATCATGAGTATATTAACATAATTTATGTAGGCTTTGTATAAGCAAGTGGCGCAGTGTGTAAGGCATTGGACTTCTAATTGGAAGGTTGGGGTTCAAGACCGATGCTCCTCACACTGCTTGTGTCCTTGTGCAAAACACTTTATGTGTATTTACTTCTCTTAACCCAGGAATAGAAATGGGTACTTCTGGTAGGAGGTACATGATTCGGAATGAAATTAGCAGTGCTGATTGCAAGCACAGCTAGGAATATTCCTCAAGGAGCGAAGGAGGTTGCACGTTGTGTATGATTTATTCTGTATCCAATGATGAGAAAAAAAAGCCCCTTGAGCAGTTTTCTTAAGTTTATAAAATAAATAAATAAATGCTAGGGCAATTTAAACTGCACAAAGTATTTTTTAGATGGGTAGTGAGCAAAAGGTGGGGAGAAGTAGAGGCTGGTAGGGAGGAAGTAAATGCTATATAAAATGTCAAACATTTTGTCAGGAAGAATTATACATAAAAGAGTGATTCATTATTCTCATTGAAATCATCTGAGCCCCATCATATCAACGCTATTTCCCTTTTGACATTATTCATATCGTATTATTACCAAATATTGCCATTTTTCATGATCTTCAGCAAAACATTTTAAAGTATTCTGCTAGTAATGGCATATCTAGAAGTCTTGAAAATGGGGAGGGGTGATGGGGCACAAATTTGGAGTGGGCCGGGGAAGGGGGACTGTAGGTGATATTAGGTAATTTTTAACTACTTGAGCATATGAATTATTTGCTTTGGATATTTTCAATGGATGTGGGAGAGGGGGGAGCGAGACCGCAGCCCCTTAGATACCTCGATTTAGCAAGACTGAAAAGTGATTCATTCCAAAAATGAAAAATGAAAAAAATATTGCCTAGAAAATGCCATGTTATCAAAATAGACGTAAAGAATACCAGGTGGCAAAACACAGTTTGAGAATTATGAACATCCAGTACAGTGCTGAATCTAAACATTGCAGTTTAAAAGATTGTCAAACATACAAGAGAAGTTCTTTAACAAACACACATTATACATCTGATCAAACATTATTAAGCCTGACAGACAAAATTTCATCTAGATCTCTGTCTAGATTATCAAAGATTCTTTGACAAAAAAAAATTGTATGCCCATATATAGTCATGATGTGCCTATATATGGTCATGATGTGATATCTTCATGACCATATTTAGGCATGACAAATGTTTTTGTCAAATGGAATTTGATAGTCTATATAGGGCTATATGAATAATTCATAATGCAATAGATTTTCTGAGCGAGTGAACTTAATGATGATGGGCAATTTCATTATATTAATACATGACAGCATATTTGACAGAGCAATCAATGATGTAAAATCAAAATAATCTCTTCCTCTCTCCGTCTTTAAAATCTTATTGAATCTACAAAAGCAATCTTCATTAAATAAAGAATTCCGATTTATTTCCCCGTTATTAAATGCCACAATATGAATCACTAAACCAAATAATTGAATCCCAGTTGCAGAAATTATACATGACTCATCTTAAAAGCCACATGGGATCTTAATATAAATCATGAGTTCAATGTGATTTGAACCTCACACTGTGTAATATTAGAATTGCACCCGAGGGGAAAACCGTTTCCTGTCATCTTAATCACTTCCCTATTCATCAGTGTCATTCCCATAATTTTCAATGTGATTGATGATATATCATATGAAATTCAGTTACTTACTTCAACGTTTAGGTAAACATAGATTCTTCCACCGATCCGTTCCTTGCGGTTGTAATACAGTGGTGCACCAACGACTAGATCATCAAGTCTGTAAGATATGAAAATTGAAAGTGATAAGAAAATTTATATCTTAAAACTTGGAGATACACAAAAAAAATAAAATTGATGTTAATTCATGTTCACATCATAATTCAGGGAACATTTACTACTTTGAGGAAGGATGACGCAGTGGTTGGGCATCAGGCTCTCAATCTTCCTGTCAGGGTCCAAATTACTATCTTAAATTTCACTTGTTTACTTGAAAAATTAAGGCACTTCACATACAGTTGTCTAGAGAGCAGCTTAGCTCAGTCGGCTAATCTGGTGGTAGCCACTGTGTGTGCACTGAACCGTGAAGATCTCTAGGTTCAATTCCCATCACTACCTCTCCTTGTGTATCAGCTGGAGTGCTGAAATACAAGTTACAATAGCGCACTGTCTTTCGGATGAGACGTTTATGCCGTTGATCTTTTGTGCATTTATGGCCCATGTGCATGTTAAAGAACGCAGTACACTCTTCAGAAAAGAGTAGAGGATTGTCTCTCGGTGTGCTGCCCAATCACCAGCAGAAGGACCCCACTGGAAGTAAGTCTTCTTCTAGACTTTCGTAGGCTATCCTTGGTGTTTACACCGAATAAATCCAATCCAATATATACATATAAAATAAGAATAAATATACTGTATTTAAAAAATTAAGAATAAGAAATAATTATAATCAAATCTAATGTTATACTGTTCTAATAATCGTCTTCTGAAACACATGGCAACAATTGACAGGTAATGATGTATGAGTTGACATTACCACTACTGATGATTATTAATGAGAGAGAATGTAGGCAGATTCCAGCATGCGAAAAAGTAAATCAATTAACTTAGACATGATGTTAAACCTTTATGCATACAAAACATTATAAACATATAAAGTACAAAGCTGTCAATGGACTGCTGCTGTCTTCAGAAAGTAGTGCAATGAAGACGACATAATTAATATCAAAATATTGAATCCTGACACGATAGCGCACATTTCGATTCTTGGAGTATGTATTATACTATCTTATCTGAGATTAATCAGCAAAGCACAAAGTATGAACAAAATAAAATTGAAAAATAGGGCCTATAAATATACGGATAATAAATTTCAAATGGGTAGAAATTATATAAAAAGAGAGTTTGATAAATGGAAAAACATAGGCACACCGTGTCATCCCAATCTATGTGAAAGTGATATGTTTTTTTGTGGTAGGAGGGCTATTCTTTGCACCTATTGAAAATGTATTGGAACAATTTATGAGTTCTGAATATACGGTAATAATAATATCCATTATAGCTACATGGCTTTAAAAATAATACTAAAACAAAGTCTATGAAGACTTATGATTACAAACGAATTAAGTTTATGATAATTATATAATTTTGTTTCCCTTTATATTGGATAACCTCTTCAGTAGAATCCATTTACATTATGCTTTACAATCAGGTTTAGGAAGTGGTGGACTTGTTTTTAGTCATGAGAAGAAATCATGTTGACACAAGAGTTAAAACTATCCATGACCTTGGGATTGGGAGGCAATCTTTTTTAATGTTGACATGTATGTGTTGACATATATTTTAACTATTTTTCAGCAAAATTTTATTGTTAAAATCTGTATTTCTACTGGGTCATTCCATGGTGTAAACATTGTCAACATAAACATTTACGGTCAGGTTTATAGTAGAAGCCCCAGTTTGCACTTTTGATGGCTATGTAGTGGTTCAAGTTATGTTTAAGCCTCAAGTGCAAGTAGGCAAAGATGCCTAGACTTGGCAACCGTGCCATTAACACGTTGACTGCCAGACCTTTTTTTAAGGTTCCTTCCTGTGTGCCAAAACAAGTTTACATGTACAAACATGCTTTTTTGAAATTTTATCTAGTCATATATCATCAAAATGATGTGTCTAATAGATTGGCGGGAAATATTAGGGAGCGAGTATACTCGTCGATGGCACTGTGATAGAACTTTTTACTGACTATGCCAAGTGCAAGTTATCTCGTCCGCTTTTTGCATGGGTTGGTATATGTTCAAAGGGCGCCCCCACTTGTACCGCTCGAGTGTACTACCGGCAACATAACACAACAGACATATATATGTCCGATTGTACGTTATCATCTAGGTGTATCTTCCCCGAAATACCAGCCGTTGAGTCTGTGGTTCTACAATGTATAATAAAGAAGTTATAAACGCTAGAATGTTCCCCCCGATTTGACGAGTATACTCGTTCCTGGCGCCCTCAGCAACACCCTGTGAGCGAGTATACTTGTCGCTGGCAGCCAACGTGTTAAGAGCAGGGGCCCCTAGCTCAACATCACTTAGTTTTCAGAGTACCAAATTCATTGTTTTAAACTGTGTGCCAATTACCAATTCTAATTAATACACAACTTAATGATATTTTTTCCAAAATTAAAATGACTAGACAAGAATTTATAATGAAATATGTCAGAGAAGGAAACATGATCTTGAATCAGTGATACAATTTTCTTCTTGTCGTCGCTTCCAGTGAAGACTCAAAAATGAACAAATCTATAACAAGAGAGTATTTTCCAGTCCCACTGGAATTCTTTCCGTAATTCTTGCGCCTGAAATCCTCTAATGAAGTTTAATCTCGACAGTTTCAATTTAACACCTCCACAATTTCATTACGGTCTATTAATGATTTCTACGTAAGTGCCCATGGTATTGATCTAAGTGACGCTTGCCTATCAAAACATGTCAGTATGAATCAAAATACAAACACTAAATCGCATTTAACAACATTCTTTCTACATACTGTACTCTCATTGCTCTCTTAAGATTTTTTTTATCTTCACTCCTTACATAATAATAATAATAATAATAATAATAATAATAATAATAATAAACATGCTTAATACACATACTTCATTTATTTATAACACATTTGTGTCACAGAAGCTTTTAAACAATAATAACAATAAATAATAATAAGAAAATATAATAATGAAAATTTTGTTTTGGCATTTTTACTTTTCATTAACATATATAAAAGGCTCACACGCCTAAAATTAGGAAAAGAAATGATTTTGGCTCAATTTTTTCTCCATACTTTCATCACTCTCAAACATGTTTTAATCTTTACTAATTTTAAAAAAAAATATTTTTTAAAATAATAAACATACTTTCCACATATACTTTATTTTTTTCATAACACATTTGTGTCTCACAAGTTTTTAATATTTATTAAACAATAACAATAAATAATAACATTTTTCATAACATATTTGTGTCTCACAAGTTTTTAATATTTATGAAACAATAACAATAAATAATAACAAACATAATAAAACTAATATTGTATTAATAGCATTTCATTTTTATACATAAAACGACACACACACTAAAATTATGAAATGAAATTATTTTGGCTCAATTTAATTTGGAAAAATATAATAGCCTTAATTGATATGCGACAAATCAATTTTAAATATTCTACGGAATTGTAAAAAAATTGATAAACCTTAGACATACAAAGACTTTTTGTGGGATAATATGTACTATTTAGTAATTTAATAATATATTTACTTTAGCATGAAAAATGTGTTTTAAATGTAATTTTGTGAGGAAGGGAAGGATATAAATATAATTGTAAATACGTTTGAACTTTATACAGAACAGAATAGAGACATCCGAAATATCTGAAGGCTTCCGTTGATACAACAAATTTTCTTCATACCTATAGAATTACTAATTGTGGGTTGTTTGGCAGCCAAGTAATACAGGATTTCTTTCTGACTAAACCCTATTATCAAAGTAGAAATGTACAAATTTGTTGCTGGATTCATTGATATTATACTGTAGGACTACTAAGATCCAGGATTAATCCTACTAATTAAAGGCCTTCGACAGCGATTGGTATTGACAGACTTTGAATAACTTCTTGAATGTAGCAAGATCCAATGTTTGCGGATTTGGAGGCATGCTGCAAATTCAACTGTAGTCAGTATGTTTATAATAATAATAATAATTCACCATCTATATAGCACATATACCAATGAACTGCGCTTACGGTATATCACATACAGTACTTATGTTATACTATATTTGTATCTATGTATGTGCTAGTAAAACAACTGCAGGGGCGGAATTAGGGGGAGGCACCAAGTTTACGCAGGGGATCAACCCCACTTTCGGCCCCCGTTTTGGACATCTCTGGATCCGACCCGAATTGTGTGCGTTATTTATATTATTAAGTATATTTAGTAATACGATGTACACTATGTACGTTACTAGTTTTTACCATATCCCCTTATGGTCTTCATAAAATTGCAACAAATTTAGTTAGTTCTTTTCTTGTTATTTTTTATTAATTTTTTTTTAAACTTTCACTTTAAAGACAAAATAAATAAATAAATAGGCCTAAATAAATAAATAAATCAGCAATTAATTAACTACAGTAGTACTAAACATAATAAAATTGTGATCACTTCACAATTCATTTTAGTAAAATTTAAAATTGAAACATATTTCCCTAATATTTTGTTGAACTAGAAAAGCATTATAAAAACAAATCCTTGCATTTCAAGGACATCTCTCTGACATATTGCATTAGACAATCATAACTATGCCAAGTTTGATGTCTATTAATACAGAACATGAATAATGTATTGAAGGACACTGAAACCCCAAAGGAAACTATAAACATTAATATTAATTCCTTAATGATGGCTCACTTAATGAGAATATCAATATTTTAATATTTCCATAATCTTTTTACTTGAATGCTGAAAAGCAACTAAGGATTAAAAAAAGTAACTAATTATAAATATAATTATAGCTTCTATTCTGTATGGCAATATTTATGTACTGCATAATATATCTCTGTTCCCAAATGGCAATTAGCGTAGTTGTAAAATTATATAAGTATGAATATGAGCTTTGATCTTTTGATTCCAATATATAGAGACAATGAGCTTCATGTTTAATTCATCATATTATGTTTTGGTTTGATTAGATGTAATCAGTTAAAAAATAAAAATAAATACAACTGCAAATATTT